TTTGTAGTCATCTTCAAAAAACATTTTTCATGTGTGTCTTGTATTAAAGCTTATAAATTTACTTGATTGAAAAACAAAAGTGCAATTATTTTTTATTACATTCAAAATCTACATACCTAACTTTTTATATATTATTTACAATTGAAACGTTTTGATATGACCGAGAAGAGATATTGTCAAACAAATTTAAAGAAGTCTTTATATATGATTTATATCGTTGTTTCGTTGTTTTCCTTTATTATTAATTATTACATAATTTGCACTGTTAAAACAAATATACAACTACAGTAAAAAGCATCTATTTGTGGGTTTTCAAACAGAGAAAAAATATTTATTTGTGAGTTTATCATGAAATTGTGAAGTAAATTCTTTTCACTATTTTATACATAAAAAATGAAAGATTTTAATGATATTAGAATATTTTAATCATAATAATACTATATTATTTATTTAAGTGTAACTAAATTTAAAGTTCCAGAACAAAAAAAATTATTTGTGGGTTTTGCATTTGATTGGTCCATTGACCCACAAATAGATGCTTTTTACTGTATTTGTTAATTTTTCTGATTATGGTAAATATCTTAGACAAAATTTCTTTTAATTTATATTTTTTTTGCCTAAAAAAAACTGTTGGCCGGTTAAAAAACCAAAACAATAAATTTGGAGTGATATTATAATTATTTGTCATCAACACAATTGGATAATTGCTCTTTCATTATATTTAAATCAAATTTAAACTGTTTCTCTCCGTAGTTAATAACTATTTTATTGAAAATGTTCATTGAAACAACAGCGGCAATACTGTCCGCATCAAACTTGTTTTGAAACACTATTTTCCCATTACAAGTAAAGAAGATGTCACACTCTGTTTGTAATACATTAAAAACTAACCCAACACCAACAACATTGCATGTCCCTGTTTTTTCACCATATCGTATATTAGTATCATATACATTGTTAATATCTTCCTTGTATATACTTCCATCGTCGCTGTGATATCCACAACTCCTTTGCTGCCAGCCAACCATAGTGTTCTGATATCCGGTATCTTTTGAAACATTCATAATGCCAATAGCTATAAGGCTATTTCCAGTCACTTCAACTTCAAAATATCTGACATTTTGAATTGTCTCTTTCACATTGTTGTTATTGATAAATTGCATTTTGTCATAACTGTTAATCTCATCAAGAAATTGATATGAAACAACCATGTCGTACATGTCTTCTTCTATTCCTTTGTTTCTTATAATTTCATCACCAATTACTTCAACACGCGGACTCATTGAAACAAATTTGGACATCTTCCACTCGTTTTCTTCTTTTGTTGGAAGTGGAAATTCAAAGACAAAATTGGCACTTTCAACGAGTTTCTTTGTATCCTTTTTATCGGCATATTTTTGAAGGTACTCAACTGAATCAATTACGTTAAAAGTTATTGCCGCAGAATGACTTAAATGGACAACTTTGTTTTCAAAGTTGATTTCTGGCAGTGACACGTAGTCTGATTCGATCACAGTAAGTCTTTTGAGATTATCAAGTTTTTCTTTGAATGTGATTTGATATCCTTTGAAAACAAAAAGTGTTTTCAATTTGTCAAGTTTACAAGAAAAACTGGTTTCATCTACATTCCACAACTCAATTTCAGAAAGGTTATTCATTTTGCACTTCTCTGTGAATTTAATTGCAACGGCATTTGTCACAGAGAGGCTTTCCAAACAAAGAAATTCGTTGTCAAATTTGACTTCAATAAAAGATATAATTTTGAAAGTTTTAATGAAAGAGAAGTCGATGTTAAGAACACGTGTATCAACATTATCACCATCTACGTCATTGTTTTTGGAAAGCAAAATTAGATGTGAGACACTTTCAAGAACAACCCATTTTGTCTTCATTTCTTCATTGGAATATTTGAATTCGACAGATGTGGAATACGAGTTTTTAATGATTGTATTGATAATTGGACTGATTGTAGAACCCTCTATCTCAATCATTCCATTTTCACAGAAAACTCGTTCACTGAGTGTTTCACACATATTTGAAACACAAGTATCGTATATATATGTTGTTTTCTTAAACATACTAAGGACATTTTTATCCTCTGGGTGATACTTGATTTTGATGTACACAGTGCTTCTTTTGTTATCGGGAAGTGCCTGTTCTAGCCACTTTAATTTATTGAAAAATGTTGTGTTCATTTCAATTGGTTTTCCATCATCCGAAAAGATAATAATTATTTCGGGAAGGTGTAAATACTTCTCTTTTCCATTTTCAGTGTAGTCACTGATAAAGTCAATAAAGAAGTTCAAATCTACACGCAGACAATTTAAAGAAGTCAAATATTTTGTGTGTTTTGTTATTAATTTGGCACATTCCAAACATGCGTTATAGTCGTTATCTTCAGTTTCCAAAGATAACAAAGACATTCGAGTCACTTTCGGGAATATATTTTGAACAAATTCGATTGTTATTAATCCTTTTTTGAATGCCTCTGTAAAGTCGACATTGCGAAGTTGCTTTGGGAGTGTAAAAAGATCCATTAAAGTAAATCCATAAAACCCAAAGTCAATTGTATCTGGTGAAAAGTGCTTGTAAAACCAGATAACAGTAGACTCTGTAATAAAAACTGGATTCACTTTTAATGAACACAAAGCAGATAAACAGATTTTGGAAACTTGAAGAAAAATGAATAACGTTTCACGACTTCTAAAATTTAACGCAACTTTCATCAAAAAGACCATTTCTAATTTTATTGCCATTTTATGTTTTATTAGATTTATTTGTTGTTTAAATTTGAGACAAATAAATATAACCAAAAGTTTTAAACAAGTGTTTAATAGAGTTACCAGTCTAATAATATATCGATTTATAATATATGATTCGTACGATATGTTAAAAAAGATTTAAAAATATGTTTTACTAATTTACATAAATATAAAAACATGAAAAGCTTATTTTATCGATAAAAACAATCTAATAAAATTAACTTAAATGAATTTAAAAATAGTTAATCTAACAAAATAGTTATAATTTAGTGGCTAAACTCGAGCAATTTTTCCTCTCTAATGTGGCGCTTTACATCAACGCATTGGACAGTCTTTATAATTTTGTGGAAATCAACCACAAGCGCAAAAACAGTTTGCAAACTCTCCACATAAATCCATATGTGAAATTTGACGGCTATCCACTTTTAAATCGGTCTGTTGATTTTTCGCAATTTCAAAAAAACAAATCCTTAGATGATTTTGATTATTACTATTATTAAATTGGTTTATTCATTTTTCATGTGTATTTGTGTTAATATTAAAAGTTTATGTTGTTGGAAAAATATCGCATTAAAAAAATATTTTGTTGGATGTTTTATTTTTTGAGTAGTTTTTAGTATTAATTTAAATGATTTTTTGGTGTGTTTTGTTTTTTTAAGTGATGAAATAAAATAATACAATCTAGACATCACCAAATAAACAATTTTTGTAATATTTATAAAAATTAGCATAATTTGCTGCGATTAAATAAAACTACATTGAGAAAAACTAACTTAATAATGTTTCAATAAAATATGCAAATTTTTAATACAAGAATATATTGTATCGACTTTTAAAGCTATGTTTTGTATAGAACAATAACAGTTGAGTGTTTAAGAAAATATTAAAATGGCATAAAGTACTTGACTTATTGTCAGATTATTATTGCAGAAGATAAATTAGTGGAATTTAAATATGTTTCTTTCAATCTTTTCCAAATTAATTTTTATCAAATTAAAAAGTAAAACAATTATCAACAGTATTTTACAACGTTTATACAAACCAGCAACCATATATACACCACTTTTCTGTTGTTTTACTTATTGAAAATAATGAAATTTATTCAAATTATGATACAAATTATAGCTTAAATAAAAAAGTCTCTTCAAGCATTTTTTTCTCACTATAAAACTCTACCATACAAAATATTATATTAACATAATTTGAATTTATATAATCAGAAAGAAGTAATTATAAAAAACAATAATTAACCATTATTATTCTGATAATTCGCAAATTAAAACTGAACATTAACAAACCAGATAATGTGATATACAACACAATAAATAAATAAAATAATTTTAAATAACTGACAATATCAAAGAATTGACATCAAAATGTTACATTAGGAATTTGTTTGATAAATGTAAAGAAGTGATACAGTTAGATCTTTAAACTTTTATATCCAAAAAATTATTTGTTTTGATCATTTCACTAAAACCATTTAAACTAAAAACGAATTATTTTGTGTGTAATTTGGACACAACTATTCGATTCAGATATATTGAATAACGTCTACATTGAGCAATTTTAATGAAATTATAAAAAAATTTAATTTTATACATTTAAAAAATGTATTAAATGTAATAAAAACAAAAAAGTTAATTTTTGATAAAAAAACAATTTAATATCCGAAAGTAATAGTTTTAATTTGTTTTTTAAATTATTTTGATTTTTATTTAATTTCTATTAGTTTTATATTCTTCAAAAATAGTTGTATTATATTATATAATATTCTAATTAAATATTTATAGTTAAATTAATATAAACCCCATAATTGTTGAATTTTATTAGATAATTTTCTTATAAAAAATTAAATACTAATTAATACTTGCGTTATAATCCAGTTTCATTACTATATTATGTTAACTCAAGATGACGCGTATAAATTCCAATTAATAGATAAGTCTCAACTTAGAGTTATACATTCTATGATTGGCATATTCTTTAAATTTTTTAAACAGTCAAGTCAACAACTTTGTTTATTTTGTATTGTTGACTTGTAAATTTTATAGTGACCAAATCGTTGTCTTTAATTTTTTTTTGTTTAAAATGGTTTAATCGTTGTTTAAAATTGTGTTTTTTGAATATTACTTCTCGTTTTTTAAACATTTGGTTTTTATTACAATCAAAGTAATATATTCGTCGTAATCTTAATTTTCGCGCAACAAGCCAATCATTCGAGTGTACGACAATTAAATATTGTGTTCTAAAATCTGTAACTTTTGTTAAATTAAAAACCAAATTTTTAATAAAAATAAATTTTAATATTAAAAAAAAATTTCGACAAAATTCACTCATTTTAAACAAATAGATACGTTTATTTTTTGTTGTACTCACGACAAATAGACGCCTTTGACTGCGGTTTTTAAAACATGAAATCAAAAAAAAATTTATTTGTTTTTAATGAAATGTTATATTAAATTATATTATAATTATAATTTATTAAATGATTCCATTTTATATTTTAAATCTTAAAATTTTTACCATGAAACTTAATTATTAAATATTAACAACTCAACTCAACTCAAAAATAAAAATGAAACAACATGAGTCTGTTTTCATTAAAAAGTAGTGCTTTATTTTCAAACGTCTTCTGACTTCTGTTTTTTATATTAATCAACAAAAGTGTTGCGAGTCAATTCAGTCGATGTACACTGCCTCATACAATTTATGCCTGAACACTTAACTTCCCAAAATACAGAAGTAATTTCCAAACATTCAAACAATATATTTAAAAGCCATTATTTTAGAAACTGCCAAAGTGGGCCCACGCTTCAAGCCATATATCGATTTGGATGCTTCTGAATGTATAGTTAAAAAATAGACTCAACTATATTTCAATAGAAAATTTAAATAAAATTCTGGCTTATGCAAAGAATATCAGAAAGTTCAAAATCGAAGGTAAAGTGTTATATATAATTGCAGATAACACAGAGAAGTTTTTTCGAGCTCAAAACCCTAGTTATTCACTCTTCGATTACATGTACTCTTCTTGACAAAGTTTTGTTTATCCCGACACTGCGTGACGTCACAATCTACTTCGATCAAAATGTCGCGCACGAAATTGCCGATTTCGACTTTCAAACGTATTCCAAAGTTTCTTTCATTTTTATCTAAACAAAATCGTTTCAATCTCACAAGAAAAATCAAATTGAAAGTGCAAAGAGACTTGCAAAGAAGTATCTTCTTTACGTGCAGATAATTACTAAAGAAACGGTTAACGTGAAGTTCATTCCAGAAGCACAAATTGTATTACCATCAAATGAAGAACGTCAAAGTGTGTCCATCTCAAATGATATGTTTGGCAAAGAGGATTTCATAGAAGAAGTGATGGAGAAGTGTGAGTGTAGTGGCCTTGACATTTCTCCGTTTGATATCAGTGAAGAAGGTGGGAATATTGGTCCCAAGGAAATCGTTGAATTTAACTTTTAAAGAGTAAAAGAATAGAAGAAGTTGTGTTGAACTATGTTGACTGCAAAAGTGTTGTTTTGCCTAAAAAGTGTAGCGCTTTTGAATTAATGAATTGCAAAGGAAAAGTTTGTACTGAGGAGTGCTATCCTGAGGAAGTGTATATTGAGTATTTTACTGGTGAAACAATTACTAATAATGAAGATGATATGAAGAGACTGTATATCAATGCTAATATTGATACACATTCAATTTTGTGTGTAAAAAGCGTAATAATCTGTAACTTGATTTCATGAAGGTCCAGTACGTTAATTTCATTAATATTAATTCCGATGAAAATATTTATATTAATTTGATGTACGGAGATACTTACATTTTTAAATTTTCTGTTGGCGAGCTTAAATTGGATCACAAGAAACTGGAGGTCATTAATTGTACAAGTGATATTTTATTGGCGGGAATTAGTTTGGAAGAAGTCACATTTTTTTTATTGGACAGAAGAAAACATGTTTTCTGTGATAGTTGGAGATGTCAAAAAAGTAAACAGGTGTGGTGGGTTATAAAAAAGGCTGCAAATTAAAAAATGTGACGAAATCATTGTAAATTCTAACGCTACTATAAAATTACTTTAGGAAACAAAAAAGGGCAAATTTGATAACAGAAGATGAAAGCAAAGTCACAAAAATTGTAATAATAATAGAATAAACCGTTTTTTTCATACCATTGAGATAATTTAAAAACAACTGGAATAACAAAAGTATTTTAGTTGAACAAATTTAGTTAACGGACTTGAGTTAATTAATTAATATTAAAAATTGTTATTTTAAACAGGGTATCCCAAATTATGGATGTGCCAAATCTTTTTAGGCCACAAAATCGGGTCGCAACTCTTAAAAATAGAGCATTTTATAAATAAACAGACAAATTTTATTTTTTTTGAACAAATAAATTATTAAATATTATTCAATTAATTAACAGATCAGTTCCAAAATGACAACATGTTAAAAATACGACATCTAGATTATTTTAAAAATACGAACTGGAATGAAACAATTTTAAATTATTACACAAAAACTTATTCCGATCAAAACAAATAACTTCTTACAACACAGAAATCATTTCTGACTTTTTTGATTTCCAAAAACCACATTCTTGAATCCGCTTTATTCTACAATTTAACATTTTTATTTATTATTGTCTTTGTTTTTGAACAAACTTATTGTTTTGAATTTACAACTTCAGTTTCACTTGACGCACTTTTTTAAACCATCATTTGAACATTTCAAACCAATTAGCAGACATCACCAATTTAAAATTCAAAAAATTAATAAACGCATTCAGCATGATAATGTAAATAAGTTGACAAATATTGTAATATCCTGTAGATGAGTTCAATATAATGTAGTTATTTAGAAAAATATTTTTATTCAATTTTTGTTT